ATACTGCCTCTTGTAAATTTCAATGCATTGGAGTATATATTTGTCAACGTGATGTACCTTTGGTGAACTTGATTAAAGGGTCATCAATTCTTAAGAATGTTGCTGCATTGATTGGAGAATGTACAACATGTCATTTAATGTATTATGCTGACCATCAAATACATCATAATAGAGGCAATCAGACAGAAATATTTCTGAACTCAGCTAAATACCTCCAAATTGGAAGCAATGTTTGGGTTGACACAATCTTTTCAAATGCACTACTGAATGGCATGTACTCATTTCATGCATCTGCAAACACCTATACACAGTATTGGAACAATAGCTTTGGAGTTATTGACCATCACAACACATTCAAAATCAGTTGAAAACAAGTTTGGCAAGCTTTTGTGCAGCATTCTATTAGATATGTGGCTTCAATTTCAAATACAACATTTGAAACCCAACCTAACATTGCTATTGATGATCTTACTCAACATGCATCTGCTGTTCTTGGTAAAAATGGTGAAATACCAGGTGCAAGAGAGCATACTTGTTCTGAATGTACTAAACCATCAAACAAACAATGTGGGATACAGAGCGGATTCCAGGTACACTTGATGTTAATATGTTAACTTTGGATGGTGTTGTTATGGGTCCACAGGTTTGTTTATTTAACTTGGCTTGATTTGATTTGATATTGATTCTCTGCTTAGATTTGTGCTTTTGATGATTGCACCAATGACCTTCACATGAAGCTTTACTTGCAAATAAATGTTGTGTGGTTGGCTGTTCTAAAGACAAGATTCAAGGAACACAAGCTTGTGCTGAACATGTTGCTGACTGGAAGAAAAGTATTCATGATCGCAGTAAAGCCACCATTAATGGTATTCAGCGTGTTCTTCAATGTCCTGGTGAACGACAAGAGTGGCAAAACATCCCTGATGCTGCTATTCAGTGGCCACATGATGATGAGGTTATGACTGAAAATCCTCAACCCACAATAAAACAAAAGACCTATTTCTCACCCAATCACTCATATTGTGTTGAAACAGCATGTTCACCATGTGGAGTTGTCATTCCATGGACCAAATTTCCAAAATCTGAATCTCCAACTAACATTCTTAATTGGCTTGATGAATTGTTTCCTAACAAGGAAGGAATTCAAAAAGTGAAAGTGGTTCAGGTTCAGACAATGATGATGATAAGGAAAGTAGTTCTACAAATAGTCCTGATCATGATATGCATCTTTCAGATTGAGTATCTCTTCAATAGGAGTAGTTTGTAATAAATCATTAAAAATGTATTTAGCAATGCTAGCAAAATAGCATATAGTTTAGTGGAGTCCAGTTTTGTGTTAGTAGAGGCAGAGGTGGAGGGGATTGTATTATAAGGCTGCCTAAAGTGTTGAAAGTAGCTGGCAGTCCAGTGGAGTCCAGGTTAGTGTTAAGAGTAGCTAGTAGTCCAGTGGAGTCCAGCTTTGTGTTAAAAGTAGCTAGTAGTCCAGTGCAGTCCAGCTTTGTGTTAAGAGTAGCTGGCAGTCACCCTGAATTGAACTGATTTTCAAAGGTTGGAGTTGACTATCTGGCCTCCACTTGGAGTTGGAAATCTTAGAAAAAACCTGAAGATCCTTTCCACTTTGCTTTGCTTCTCAATGACCCTTTCATCCCAATGGATGTGGTATTGTTTGATTTGGATGAATATTGTTCTAACAGAAAGGACTGGGAAAGAAATGTATCATTAAATGGCTTTCAATGCATGAGAAAGCTGGGATAACACCTATTTAAACCCATTTTCAATAGATGGTTTGGACTATCTAGCCTCAATGTGTA